TTTTCTTCTGACAACATGACTTTGTATCCCATTTTGTACTCATAGCATGATCCTAAAGATTATACACTACTTATTTAATATAATCAAATTAGAAGTGACATCATATCGATTCTAAACTGAATCGTAAAGGGGCACACCGAGTATTTGTTTATTATATTTTACATGTAGGGTTTCTGTTCTTATTTGCTTACCCATCAAGATCTTTTGGGCAAACCTGTCCAATGACAAAAAGTGACAAATAGTCTGTTTGGGAGCGATTTTTTGTTTCAAAAAATTGATTTTTTGATCGTTATTTCACTATTTCAACCGTCATATTTGACTTCTTCTTTCACAGGTGGACCCCACTTTTCTCGTAACGGTCAAAAAATCAATTCTCAAAATCACTCTCAAAGTTTTTGTTTTTACTTCTACTTATTTTAGAAGGACTTTTAGGAAATTTTACTTTAAATTAAGACAAAATACTTTTTGAAAATTATTAAAATATGTTTAAAAAATAACTTCTTAATTTTAGAAGTAATTTTTGAGTTTTCAAAAACATTGCCAAACAAGCTCAAAATATGATACAACTGGGAATATATGTATTAACTTTTTTTTTCCTATTAATAATAAATAAATCTTGATATCTTATTTTAATATTAATTTGACTGACATCAATTAATTTTGTTTTATGCCTCAAGTTGCCAAAAAAAATAAAAAATCACTATTCATAAAAATCATAATAAACCAGCGTCTAGAATCTTATCTTATTCTCATTTCCAATAAATATAACAACTTGCATTTTGTTTATACATAATTAAACTTTTATTAACTATTAGAAAATAGAAACGATTTTGTCTTACGTCGATTTCCCGTTACCGAACATATTTAAAGGAGGAAATTGAATACATGTTTACTATCCCGTGTGATAAATATTTCACTATGCGCATTCAACCTGGCTTCATGTCTTGAACTTCCCTCTTATTATTTTTCTTTATTATTTATGTGGATTCTATGGAGATAAAATTGTTACAAAAATGTAATTATTATTTTTTTTTTTTTGTAACACATATGCTATGTACAAAGTCAATTGTTGTACATATGTCACATTACTGTAACAAGTCGTTATCCATTATTACTTTTAATTGAAGAATCTTGACAATTGTGAAGTGCAATAATAAAAATGTTTTTTTCTTTTAACTTTTCAAATAAATAATTGAGTTATAAAAAGTTTGGCTACTTGTAACCTTGCCGACCTCTATTCTTTCCAATCATATGCATAGAGGGTACGTAGAGTGGGGTTGGGGATTTAGTGCTTGTACTCTGTAATTATAAATGATAATATAAATATGGCTAAATTTCTTTTCTTCTTTTTTCTCTATAGGTGCATTTGTAGGATACCTATAACTCTACGGGTAAGGGAGATAATTAAGTTAAAATATTGTTCATATAAATTAATTGTTGTCCAGTATTATGTAATAAAACCATCATGACATTACAAATTTTATTAATTAATTCAAATAAGTAAAGTACATTTTAGGGAAGACGATTAAAGCGGATTTCTCTCAAACAATATCGACAAGGGGACCTTAACTAGTCCAAATGACATATATGCAAAGCAAATTTATGAAAAATGCTTTCAACATATTAAGATACAAGAATACGATGGTGTGTTATAGAATACAAATTAGACATTTTATAAGTCAACTTGTCGGTGACGGCTATTGGCTAATGAAACAATATCATATTTTCTTAAGATTTGATAAATATCATAAAAATCCAATTATTTTTCCTAAAATGAAATAAGGTGCTTGTTTGACGATAGAGGCCACAACTTGGCACTATCACCAACTCATTAGTATTGATGCTTCGATCCATCCCTTTCCTTTTATTGTTTGGTACCAAAACTTAGGTCCTTAAAACTCATGTAATAATTTTGCATTTATGAATCTTGTCCTATATATGAGAATTGTATCATCAAGAATTTGATTCCATAAATTATTTATATAAAATTGTGTAGGGAAATTATCAACCTTAGGGTTTATTGTGGATCATGTCAACCAACCACCATATCAGAATTTGCTCTGGATTGAGTTGTGAATTTTTTGATACACGTAGAATATTATTAGAAAAAAAAAAATGGAATAAAATGTTGTCCAAAATTCACCTCAAACTAGTCTTTATAGATAAGCATATTTTTATCGGGTAATTTCAATCTCTAACCAAGAAAATAACTGCATCTTGCCTTCTAAGAGTGATGAACTTTGTTAGAACCATGGTAAGGAAAATCTCTTCTTCCTCACCATAAGCACTTCCAACTCCCAACACCCTACATCACGTGAAGTACGATTGACATCCAGCTAATAAATATGTAATATTATAACACTAGCAATTCTTAACATCTACGAGGATTCATTATAATGTTAAGTTCTAAGTAAAGATTATTAAATTTTTTATTTTTTTAAAATGTCAATTAGATGAATGTAATAGAGGTGAAGACATTTATAAGATGAAAGTGCGATTATATTGGATTGAATAACATAAAAATGAGAATGAACAAGAAGTGAAAGCGATGCCATCTAAAGATACGTCATATGTACACAACACATTCTGATTTTCCCTAACCAAGAAAATTAATATTTTCCTGTGAAAAATATGATTGAACCGATTTAGATTTCTTTCTTCTACAATTTTTTTTTTCTTTCATCTACAATTATTTATTATGTAAGTTGTCAATACAGGGCAGCAGCATTAAAGCATTTCATATCAAATAAAGCATGTGCTTTAGATAGTCATATTTTAATTATTTCTTGCGGCCCTACTCCTTAATTAATAACATTAAAATAGTAATGTCGGGGAATGATTAGTTGATTGATTTGATTAAAATAATTGAAACTAGGTCGATATTGTAGAATTTGGAGTTGATAATATCTTTCACTTAAATAAATCACTCAAAAGTTAATTAAAAGAGATTAGTCATGGAACACGTGATTATGAATATAATAGTGCATGTTATTAGATAAAAAAAAAATGGAGAGAGGGATACTAATAATAGATTAGTAAAATTGATTATTGTTGGGTGACCTTATTTTTTCTATAATTAATTAAAAAAAAATGTCTAATTAATATGAAAGAATTTCCAATATCTTCACATTCAAAATTATATTGGTAAAGATATCCAATAAGGATATTCCTTACCAAATTAGAAATAATAATATTTATTTTGGGCATATTCTGCAATTATTTGTTCCTTTTTTTATCAAAAGAGCAAGTCCAAGAAGCCTAAATTAAAGACCGAATTTCAATACTCTATATGGTATTAGAGCCCAAAAGTTTAAAATAATAGATTGTCTAAAGTTATCATGTTTTAGGACATGCATGTCAATGTTAAGGATAAATTATAAAAACTCACATCGTTTAGTTAAATATAAAATTAATAATCTATGTATAAAGGTTTGAACTGTTCCCTTTATCAAGATTAACTTTTTTAAGACTGAACTCTAAAACTCTATACACAGATAAGGAATAAATCAAACATGTCTATATTTTTAATTTTATCAATATTTTCACCTCATTTATTTAGTAAAATCAACAAACTCAAAGGGTGAAAAAAGGATAAAAGAAAAATATGCATGGTGGAGATATTTAAAGAGAATGAAAGCAACATGAATGGAAGACAAACAAAAATGGACTCATTAGAGGTTTGCATGTAATGGGGTCATTTGTGATATGATTTATAAAGTACAATGATTATGAATAATACAAATTGTGAAACCACGTTGCATAACAGGAAAATTGGTAGATATGAACATGGATTATCAATTGAATGGTTAGTTTTATCAACTATGTATGTATATAAGATCGTCTTTATTAAATGGAGCAATTTCTTATGGGGGACTTATCGACCCCTCACTGTAGGGGTCGGTCCCACATGAAAAAAAAATATGCCGCGGCCTACGACCATGAGTATTTTGATAAGGGTCTGTTTACAGACCCTGCCATGACGCCCTGCGTTTACAAGCTAGGCCTCGGTCAAATTTGGTTTCATTTTCATGCCTAAGGAAAAGTATCTACATTCACATTTATGTATATATGTATCGTTATGGCCATAAATTACTTCTTTAATTTGTCCTCCTTTCTGCGTAATGAAACTCGGAAGCGGAACTAAAGCTTGCTTTTGAAGAGTTGTATTTGGACCGAATGTAGAATCTAATAAGACCATTATAATTTCTACCCGATATACGCATTAATAAGATTACTCGTCACTAACTAGTTGACATCGTCATATATTTTTGTTTCAAAAATGATATATGCATACATAACCACGACGTGACTCAATAAATTTTCAACTTGAGCTGTCTTTCATCTAATTCAAGATCATCTAATTCAAGAATCAAAGTAACAGGTAAGTTATTTAAACCTGAAATGGTTGTGTGGACCTTTAATAAACACTGTATAAATGAAGTAATTAGAGGTTGTGTGGACCTTTTATAAAACACTGGATAAATAAAGTAATTAAAGGTTGTGTGGACCTTACTTCATGATATTGAAGATATATTTAACTTACTCGACTTAGTAAATGGATCGATTTCGAGTCTTATCGCTTCCTATTTAGTACAGAGAAAATTAGTAATTGTCCCTATGCAAGAATGACACGCACAAATTGGCCCCAACCACTCACCTTCGCAATGTAACACACGTAAGGGGAAGAACATAGCCCAAGGCTGCCAAAAAAATCACCAGCAAGACACGTTCTTACACATGTTTTGCAAAGGGCAAGTGACAGGGACTAAAAACACGAGGACACGTGTCAACATTTTAAAAAGTTAAAAAAAAAAATAATACATAGGCATTGTCAACACAGCACTGTCAAAAACCTTGTCATCTCATCCTATTCAAGCAGCATAATTCTTCTTACACAGATAGATTAAGAGATTTTTTTGAAGTCTAACAGTGTACAGTTAGATTTATTGAAGAGATCACAGGCAAATACTTAAGAAAGTTTTGTGGGAGGGGTGGGGGCGTAATGAAGAAAAGTTTAGCCCTTCAATGAAAAATGAAAAGGAATAATTACCCATATACACACAGACATAAAACAACATAAATACAAACTCTATTAATAATTCCACGACAAGGATTCAAAGCTGAAGCTGGAAATTCCACCACCATCATCAACATCACCACCGCTCAACCACGGCGCAGGAGGGTCCAGCCACCCGTCCACCACCGAGTTATCCACATACACAAAATCATTCCTCAGTTCTAGCGAGTCAAAACACGATCCCAGACTCGGTAATTCTATAATCTCACTCAACTCTTCTGATGTAGTTGAAAGGTCTATAGCAGAAACCAGAGATGACAACTCAGAAGAAGATGATGAAGTCCTTGATGAAGATGAAGGGGATGTGAATAAATCAAACTTCTTCATTGCAGCTGCTTTGGCTGCAGCCACCTGAACATCTCGCGGGCTACGGGAAACCGGCCGAGGAAATGCACCGGCGAGTTCAGGAAAGTTGAGTATGGCGGAGGTTCCTTTAATGCTTAACGCCGCCACATCGTGAGCTCTGGCCGCCATTTCGGGTGTGGGAAAAGTTCCGAGCCATATGCGCGATTTCTTGCGGGGCTCGCGGATTTCAGATACCCATTTGCCCCAGTTGCGCATCCTGACGCCCCGGTAGACCGGGTGTTTGCTCCCGCTGCCGGTAGAATCCCTGATTCTCTTGATTTTCATGGTAGCTTCTGTATCTACTGAAGGTGGCTTCTGTTGGGTGTATGCAGCAGATCGAATTTGAGATACTCCGGGAGACGGTGACAAGGACGAGGATGAATTTGAACTGGTTTCAGGCTCTGAATTTTGAGTTACAGAACTCATATTCTTAGCAATCTACCTGTGTTTTGGTGCAAATCTCTGTGTGCATATGACTTTACAGTCACTACACTAGGGAATGTACTAGTCGGTTGGACGAACTAGCATAAAGGGAGGTATATAGACAGAGAAAGATACATACACACATAGATATATAGAGGGTGCGTGGTGTGGGGTGGAGAAGGGAATTGAGAAGATAGATTCTTCAAGAAGTTGAAAACTTTAGCATAGAAATGGAAGGAATATTATGCACCCTAAATAAACCAGATCCTTTTTTTTTTTTTGCTATCATTTCCCAATTACTCAGTCTCAGACAAGGGCGTGGGGTGGGAGTTTAAGGGCTTAGGGAGTCCTATATATAGAAGGAAAATTCTGTACTAATAGATTGACGGATGCATGCTTTTGATTTGAATTTCATAAACGATTGTGCTACATGTATACAATGGTTTATATACATATAATGTAGTAAGATATGGTTGGATAAAAAAAATTACAATCAAATTAAAAAAACATAAAAGATTTTCTTCTCTTTTTGACACTTCATGTACATGTAAATCATTGCCCTTGTTTGAGCCCCATTTTGATGGAGAAAATGAATTTTTGAATAGTGTATTGATGGGAAATATATGGTTAAAAAATAAGAAAAAATTTTGAATTTACGTATAATATTATTTTATTGAAGAATATGTGACTGAAATGATGTTCAAGCACTATTTAAGAATATATTTTTTTGAAAAAAAATATAGCTGTATTATGTATATGTAGTATTATTCTTTAAGAAATTTAAATCAAGGGACGGATGCATCTATTTGCACAAAATCATCATTACAAGTAGAATAATTGATGGAAAAAATGGGTCATTCTGCTTGACCCCTTCATTACAATTAGGGTCCCCTCCTAAACATCACGCAACCCCCATAATGTTTCCAGTTTAACCTATGCAGGCACTGTAGATTTTCCCTTGTCACGGTCACTATCTTNTTGTTTGGATAAAATTACGAGTTAAGAAAATTACAATATGATAGGAATAAGTAATGGATAAGTAATTGTAGATTCTATGAAATATATATTTAAAATTAATATTTTATTTTTATCATTAAATTATAAAGAAATTATAAGGTTTTACAAATACGTACTAAAGACACACATCACTAATGCGATTCAACTAGTGGTACTAACTTAGAATACGAAATTTGTCATCATTTAATAATGAAAATTATACGCGATAGGTTTATAGCAAAGAAAGTTTGATTTTTGCGTGCAAAATTTTATTTATCTCAAATAACACTTTACTTTATGTAGATGCAATAATAATTTCTTCAAAAACTTAATAAGTGAGAACTTTTACAGTATAAAATCGTGATACGTATACGTACAAACACAAAGGAGACAGGTTGAACATCTGAGCAATGGTCCATTTAATTTCCATGGAGGGGAAAAAACTTGGTCATAAAACAGTACTTGTTGCATAGGCTTAGCCCTTCGGTACCAATTAAAATTAAAATTTTAATTTAAGTCAAAATTAACAATTAATTTTAATCATATATTTTATGGGTCACACAACTTTTTAACCATATATTTCATCAATTTTCTCAAAATTTATTAAAATCTGATTTTAATTCTCACCAAACAGGGGCTTAACAGATATGTGACCAAAAGTTGTCTTGCTATTACAAAAAGGAAAAAGGAAAAAACGAGGAACCAAAAATTTAATTTTGAGTATCATGAAAGTAGGGCATCTCCAACCACAATACCATTGCACCATTTTACACCATTTTTTGGTGCAAAATTGCTCCAACCCAACACCAAACTTTGCACCATTTTGGTGCAAAATGGTGCAAAGTGTAAAATATCCATTTTACCCTTATTTAACATTTCCCAAATAAATTTGTTGAGGGTATTTATGTAATTTGTGCTATATATTTTTTAATACAATAAATTATTATTATTTTTTATTAATATTAATATTATTTGTGTTTAAAATAAATTTTAAATGTAAGACATAATAATTAATTAATTAAAAGACGAAAATAATTTAAAATACATCAAATACGATTATTTATTAAAGTTAACACGAAATATATTAAATAGCAATTTATGTTCTATGTTTATTAATTGTATTTTTATTAATTATTCTATGTTTTTTATATTTATTAATGAATTTAATCTTTTCCGTAATTTAACGTAATTATTTATTTAGTAATTTATATATTTATGAAATAATTAAATAAATAATATTTCAAATAAGTAGATTATAAAGAATAAAAAAGGGAAGAAAATGGTTAAATACTGTTCATTTGGTGTAATTTTTGGTTTAATGATTGGAGATGAATTTTAGTTTGGTGCAAGATTTGGTGTAAAATTAGGTACAAAATGGTACAAAATTTGGTGCAGGGTTGAAAATGACCTAAAAGATTTAAGTTTCACCAAAATGCTATCAATTGAAGAGAAGAAATGACTATTGAAGTCGTAGAAACGTAATGTAAACTATCGTAGATGTTATAATAACATTTTAATAGAATTGAACAAAAAGTTAATTGTCCCATCTTATGTCATTCAACCAAAAAATGACAAAAATTGATTAATATTGTCTTTTCTTATCTCAACCTCCTTTTTATTTTTTATTTTTTTTGAGATATGTGTATATGTTTTTCATTTTCATCGTGGTTCACAAAAAACTATAAGAAAGCTCCAAGTCTTAATAGCATGTTTGGTTTTCTTTCCCTTTCTCCTTTGAAATAGAATTAGGCAAAAAGATCTTCTTCTCTTCATAACCCTACCTTTTCATAGTCCCTCTCTCAATTATCATTTTTAATACCAAATTTACGGTATTGTTTTTATTGATTGAAGATTAACTTACCATTGAGACAATAAATGCTCTGCAAAGAAGTTTTAATATGATAAAAGCAATCTCTATGTGACCTAAAGGCACGTTTATTTTATCGCCATCATCTAAGGAACGATAATTTGTTCTATGATTTTTTAAAATTATCAACATATTTTTTTACTTTGATAGTATTGCCCATAGCCCCCGTTTGAACTCCATTAGAATGAAGTTTTGAAGGAAGGAGGGGGGGGGGGGGGGGGGAGAAATTTTGAAACAATGATTTTTTTTTAATTTTTAATTTTTGAAAAATGTATGGTTAAAAAAAAAAAAAAAAAAAGGAAAAATTTCGGATTTCCATACAATATTATTTTATGGGAGAACATGGTTGAAAATGAATTTTGGAAGAAATGGAGCCAAACAAGGACTTTAACAACTTAGACTTGCAATTTTAGCCCTTAATCAACATTGTTTCTTAAGAAAGGTGTGTTGATTCTCTCCATGATTTTTTCCAATCGTATTTTCTTCAATATTCTCTCTATAGCTATTTTGAAATTGGTCTTGGTATTGACTTAAAAAAGAAAAGTGGTCAAGGATAAAATGTTGGATTAGGGTCGAATGCTGACAAATTGGTAAGGGTAAAAACATTTGAAAAATAAAAACAAAAATTTATAAGGAGTTGAACTTGTACTAGCCGATTCAATAATTCTTTTAAAGATTTCGAAATTTTCAATTTTTACCATAGATTTCCAAATCAATTCCCAATTACTTCATTTTTACAATACTCGTTTAATCATGTTCAATATTGTGTACTAAACATGTGATCGACCTTATCTCCTAATCAAGCTTGTTTAGGTAAATATTGTCTGATATGGAACGAGAACATCAATCCTACCAAAGCTAGCCATATTGGAATGAGTTCAGAACACCTCCAATTAGCTATCAAAGAGTTAAACAAATTACAAACTGAACGTCTAATTGAACCAACTACCTTCCAGTGGATATGTCAAGCCTTTAATGTTAATAAAAAAAAGTGAGCAAATTCGTAGACAAACGAGACTCGTGATTGATTACAAAAGTATGGTTAATGAGAAGGAACTCTTATTGCAAGCAGATTCATATCTCGCTAAATTAGTCTTTTTGATCACATCGTGTATAATAAATTGTATATTATTTGATGCATAAACACCGAGTCAATGTAAAATATTTGGAGTAATTATCGATTCACATAATTGCTTATGCCTAGTCGAAGAACCAACCTACCACACTTCAATAACTCGATCAAGCAAAGCAAGTTTGGTCATTTGCAAATTTTTTGGTCCAATGATTTTTTGCAAGGTTGGTAGCTGTTGAAATAATCTCCAACTTTTAGCCACCTAGCATAAGTCACATCTCAATTGGGTCCATGCCTTTATATGGTAGCATGGTGCGCCCATTACGTGCATGGGGCTCGACACATGGCTATCATATCCTCATGGCAACAAATATTGTTGTACGTTTAGTTTCAATAAATGCTGCATTGCCCTTCATTCTTAAAATCGTTTTCAACTTCAAGGGCGGCCCCCTCAACTACGATATTATTGCAAATATTCAAGAATCAAATCATGATCACTCTATACAATGAATGCTATAACTATTAATGTTTAAGTAAACATCACTCTTTTTTTTCTTTTTTTTAAAAATAAATCTTAGAACTGTGTTTAAATTTGATGTTGTAAAATCGGTAAAATGAGCTCAGCCAACAAAATAAGAATAGAATTTTCATTCCTTGCGAGTATATTGGTGGGGTGTTGATATAATATCATTAATTAGACATCGTCTTTACATTTACTTAAGATGCAGAATTCACAATATCTTGTAGTGATATCATATTAAACCGTTCTATCAAAAATTTGAACAATTGAAAAATAAAAAGATACTGAAGGTTAGAAGATGAACGCCTCGAGAAATTATGATTAACGAAATGAGTGTTACGTAGCATAGCATAAGTAAATAAGTTAGATGTGCTGCACTTATCACATATAGTGTGAAAATAAGTCATTTTTGCATTGTCACTCTCACTTTAAAAAATAAAAATCATGTGGTACTTGGTAGTGTCTAATTAACAAAATTATTAGATGGGAGTATTTCTCGAAACACCTATTTCATACATGTTCTATTTGAAAACATATATCACAATCAAATGATATTATACTCACACTGTCACATAATGAATGATTAAATGCTCCTCCGAAGTAAATTTTATTAATACAATGTGATGCAAAAAAAACATAGGATGTATCTAAAGATTTGTTAATTCTGTGAGTACTTTAGTGACAAAATCGTCAAATTCTAGAATACTAAAAGATTTGATAAGATCTAAACAACAATAAACTATAATTCCATCTTTTTTGGAAGAAAATAGAAAAGACATCTTAACTTCATTTTGAAAACCAACTCATCCAGAAAATAATTTTTGCTAAAATGAAAAATTATAGTTTGACTGTCTGAACTGCAGATTTTGACCAGAATATCCAT